TTGGGTCCATGCATTGGCCCTAATTTCTTTTTAAGATATTTCATAATTTTATGCTATTGTATTTATGTTTGAATATTTTAGCTTTCCCCACCTTTTTTATTTCAAATTCTTCAGAAAAAATCATGGTTTGTTTTTATATTATCAAAATACTTTTTCACTCTCTCTGAAAGTCCAATACCATGTTGCTTCTTCACATGTTGATAAATATTAGGGCTTAGTCAACCTCCAATATATATTTTGATGGGAATCACACAGACTTTTGTAAGTGAAGACTTTTTTATTATAGTAAACAAAAACTAAGGAGAGGTAGACAGGAAGTTCAGTAAAAATGGAAAGAAAATTACACTTCTTTGATTGCCTTTGGTTTTAATCTTGTGTGTTTTTTTTTTTTTTTTCAGGACTTTGTGCCACCAGATCAACCTCCCAGCAGCTCACAGCCAGTCGAGTATTTCCCTTTCTTTGACAACACATACTTGGCTGTAGCAGCATCTTTAAATGGCGGCAATGTCCTGGCAGCATTTGTGAGAACTGTGCAGCAGTGGAGTCTTGAATTAGGTTTCCAAGTTCCACAGTGTAAGTGAGTTTTCATATTATAAAAGAGGAAATGAGATGAAATGTAAAAGAAACAAAGTTATAGATAGACTAGATACATAAATACTTTACATTTTGAAAAAGTCAAAAATAGATTATAAGTGCTTTAGAAATTAGATTGATTCTTTATGCCATTTTTATCATTTACAGCAAAGATTTGGCAGAGAATTCTAGCCCTTGGTGCAGAGCCTCAGAGCCAGTCTTCACTTGTAGTTGAACCTACAATATTTGGGGAGCGTCATTCACCACAAGAGAATGCTATGGTGTCTAATATAGATTTAGGAAACATATCACTAGGAAAAGTAACAAGAGGACTGTGCAAAGGAATTATCACAAACATACACAGGTAAGTCACTAGTTTTTAGAGAATTTATGCACAAACACCATACAGGAGCAGTGAAAATTCTGTTGATAATACTTATGTACCTACATGCGTTATTGTTTTCATGGCTTCTCTGCCCTTGACAGCAGTGTGGTCTTCAGTTGCATATTCTATTGGCTTTTCCAGCTTGACCAATAATTCTCTAGGCCTCTCTACAACCCATACTTGATTCCAAAGTGACATAGTTTGCCTTCTTAAGAATCTCATTATGTGTAAATTTATTAATTTATTGTTATAGTGATTCATTTTGGTCAATACCTCGTTATTATCTTCGGATTGAATAACCTGTTATCATTGCCAGGTTATTCAAAGGGGACTTTGCTTGCCAGAGACCATCTTTATGATGTGACAGCTGAATTTAAACCTCAATATAAAGATAGACCTTGTTAAAAACTGGCCATCCTCCATTGAACTCACTCCCATATACTCCATATCTTGGGTGTGGACTTGCAGTTAGTGATTCAGGGTGCATCTCAATAAAGAAATTAAGGACTTCACCATACCTGATGAGTGCAGCAAGCAGCTTTTGTTTTACTAGAAGAGGCTGATACAAATGCCAGTCACTGAAAACTTATTGCTGGCCTGATATGTGATTCCATGGCTTAGTGTCATTTATCAGGTGATTGGGTGGTCATTAATCTCCTATATTAAAGGAGATTTTGATTAGTGGGAAACTTAACCCCTCAGATCCAGGTCACAGGGATGGCTCTTCATTAAAAAAACTTGGCCAAGGGGTGGATGATGATAATGCTTCAGCATGGAAAATTTTGGCTGGGGGCCTGGGTAACGGCAATGTCTCACCATAGGAAACTACTGTTGAGGGGTTGGGGAAGGGACTCCTGCAATATTTCCATCAGTAAACAAGGGTGATGTATCATACGTGAGCTATGCCTTAGAGAATGCTGGAGGGAGGACACTGTGTCTGTGTGCAGGAACTTAGTCCATACGTTCTGCTACCTGTGGTAGAGGCTGCATCATGGAAAGTTGAATAAAACAAAATTATATAAAAAGGAATAGGACAATATTGCTTATTGTTACTGCTCTTACACAGAGGGGAGATAATATGGAGTACACTCAATGAGAACAGTCCATTATGTTCTTGATATAGCATGATGAATGACAAATATAGACCTGGGAAAATGCCATTACAGCAAAAATGTGTGTTCAGGATAAGAGCAAATAGCTCTGCAAAGTGGAGGTAAGGAATTGATACCAAACATGATTGTTCTTTGTCGGCTGGGGCTTCAAGCCGCACACCTGGGAGAGTTCCTAATTAAGTAAACATAATACCCTGATTTTCATCCAAATGCCAAAGCAAGGCACCCAGGTCCAACAGGTTATTTACAAATGCTGCACAGTTAGAACAATTTAAAAAAATGTTAGGGCAACATTGTAGGAGTGGTGTAGTGCTGGGGTAGTCATAGAAGAGTAGTGTAGTGTAGAAGGTTGGGAAGTGTTCAGGATCAGTAGATAGATTTGGATGCCGGTATGGATTTATTATGCAAGTAAAGTCATTCAGAATAGTCATATTAGCAATCTTTACAACTATTTGATGACACAGAATTATATTTTTATGTAGAAAACACCTACTACTTTTGTAGTGTTTTCTCATATTATGGTATATCAACTTTTTTCACATAAAAAAAATCATATGGCAAACTCAGAAAGGGATATACAAAGTAAGATCATGAACCCAGCATCACTAGGGATGTCATGTATGTAAATGCCATGCCTGCTGTGATATTAATTTATTGATTGTGTTTGCAGGTACATGGTTTCATTGATTCTTAGTCCTAGCTATTTACCCTTTTTCTTGATTTGGGAAATATTCTTCCTTACTTTTTATTGTTATTAGTATTGTTAATAACTTCATGATAGTTATAATGTCAATATCAATGATAAAAGTTTCAATATTAATAGCATTAAAAAAAACTTTCTCAAGTGATATCACAAAACTACAGTGGGCAGTATGTGGTCCAGGCTGTTATGGATTAACAAACTCATTTAATAATGATATACTTTGCTTATTGGGACATGCAATTAGGTACGTTTTACTGACAAGAGGGGACTTTCTCAGAAAAGATAAACATGTAGGGTAGTCACTTGTTTAACCACAGAATTCACCATTATTTGGAGACGATGTATCAAAATCAGCCAAACTCAGGAGTAAGCTGCATCATAGTTAAGGAGTCTGCAGAACTTAAGAGGAGGCCAAATGCAGGACATTCATGGAAGTGACCAAAGTGGCTGAAGTTTGGACAAAAGCGCAGGATGCTTTAAGGAAAATAAAGGGTAGAAGGGAAATAATTAGGTATAGGCAAGACTTGGTACAAATATCAAGAACAGTGACCTGAACAAAACATTGTAATCAGAAGCACTAATCAGTTAAAAAGGCTGAATATAGTGTAGCACAAGCCAGGTAATTTTATAAATAATATGAATTTGCTAGAGTAAATATAAAACACTGAAATGGAGTAACAAGCATGCTTTCAAAGACAATTTCCACAGAATTGCTTGTGTGGCAATTTTTTTTTTTTTTTTTTTTTTTTTTTTTTTTTTTTTTTTTTTTTAGATCTCCAAAAATATGAGCAAGTCTATATTGAGGGAAAATGAATTGTAAATCAACATGGGTAATGAGCATACTTGCAAAATTAATCTGTACTTTTTCATAATTTAAGGGTAATCTGTGGGTAGTTAGAGTGGATTGTTTTGAAATCTTTTCAGTATATATTTAAGTTTTCTTATTTTCTTAATCAATACATGAAATGGATCCTTGATAGTGTAACGTATTATCCCATCTCTCTTTCTCCCAAAACACATATATGTATGTGTGTATGCATATGAAACATAAGTTTTTATGTATGGTGCTTACTTATGATAAGTATATATATAAATAATATAATATATCCTGTGATTTTTAAAGAGGTTCACCCTGCTTTTATTGTGTTTTTCCTGCACTTTACAATACTGTTTGCAGCATGATGCCGCGATCTCTCCTCGTAGAAAATGGAATCACAAACATCATAGGTGGAGGATCAGCCCTCACAAGAAACCCTATACTGCACAAGGAGCTCGAAGATACATATCAGCTGCCAGTGTCTCTGGACTCACGAGGGGATGCTGCGTATGGGTCCGCTTTGGCAGCCATTAATTCCAAAGCGCAGTAAAGATAATCATGTAGAATTAATGAGTTAAGATTTGAAATCTTACTTGCAAGTATATTCTTTACTGCACAAAATTTCTGAAACAAGAAATATGAATTGTAATACAGGGTTATGAATATTGAAATCTGTTATGATTTATGAAACTGTTATATTCTAATTTCCAAGATTTTATGCCTTGTAAAATAAATACTTTTTTGTGTGTATGGGGGTGTGTGTGTGTGTGTGTGTGTGTGTGTGTGTGTGTGTGTGTGTGTGTGTGTGTGTGTGTGTGTGTGTGTGTGTGTGTGTGTGTGTGTGTGTGTATGTGTGTTCTTACCTAGTTGTTTCAGTACAAGAGAAGAGCTAAGCTCAGAGGGTCACATCTACTATATTGACAATGTCGTAGAATTATTTTTTTAATGATGCACAGTTTTGCCACATACAACATTATTTGGAAGATTGTTCCATATTTCAATAGTCCTATTTGGAAACCTTAACTTTTTGACAGTCTTATTGTCTCTGCTTGCATTTATTTTATAAGTTAATCTTTATATAACTTCATTCTTTCTGTGATAGAGTTATACAGCCTAATTCTGAGCCACTTTTCCTTCTTTCGTCTAAAGTAGTAAGTCCCATTTTCTGTAGTTTGTCCTTGTGCTTCGTATCTCACAGAGTTGGTGCCCATCTTTCGGCTGCTCTTTGAACTCTCTCCAATTTGTCTATATCTTATTTTAGATGTAGACTCCTATACCACTGCACTGCACTCTGGAGTAGGTGTGTGTGTGTGTGTGTGTGTGTGTGTGTGTGTGTGTGTGTGTGTGTGTGTGTGTGTGTGTGTGTGTGTGTGTGTGTGTGTGTGTGTGTGTGTGTGTGTGTGTGTGTGT